AATTATTGTTATATAAAGCTTGCGTAAGGCCAATCATGTCCTACGCATGCATGATCTTCGCACACATAAATCCTACGCGCATTGACGATTTGCAAGTAGTCCAAAGTAAGTTTATCCGCCGCGCAACCGGTGCGCAATGGTATCAGCGCAACGTCGACCTGCACAGCGATTGCAGACTCCCGACGATTCGCGCTCATTTTAAAGATTTGACAAAACGGTTCTTCGATAGAGCCCAGCATCATCCCAACCCTCTGGTGGTAAGCGCAGCAAACTACCTACCGGACACTAACGCGAACGTTAACAAGCGTCGCCCGCGAAACGTCCTCATCGACCCGGTCGACGAAGAGGACTTAGACACGATGGACCCACCGCCGGGGGTCCCGCCGGATAACACTACACCCACAGTTAGTGTAACAACAATCACACACCAGTTCGCCCTCGCCTCCGAGCACGGCGAGACCCACACAACGCGTACACAAGGTACACCCGCGTTCCGGGGCGGTTCTCACCGCTCCCAGCCACCGATTAGCTAAATGCACAGTCGACGGCCGTCGGGGTCTCGGTCCGAACCGGCGACCTCGACGGCCCTTAGATGACACACCATAGTAGTTAAACGCACGCATGAGCACATGCGCGACCCTACCCATAGCGGAGGGTCCAAACCCGTGGGTTCTGGCTAGCCCACCGGTTCTGCGTCCGATGAAGCTTTAATAGTCTCGGGACTGAAAGCAAAAACATCAGTTAATACAAGATACAAGAAACGGTATTGAATACTAACGTATTGAATAATGCCATTATTAACTTAGTCAAACTAGACAAAAAACGTAACAAAACTTGTAAGCTCAGAATCACTCATGAACTGAAATCCAAAATGAGATCCTGTTAAAGACGTTAAGTTTAAGTTTAAGTTAAAAATTATAAGAATTTAAATAAGATTACATGGAGTTATTATAAAAAGGCCAAAGTACTGATGCTCTATGTTACTGTGTAAAGTTACATGATACTGGGCACATATCGAACAAGCGATGGACATGTAGGATATCATGTTGGGAGATGCGATGTAGATCAGCTTTCCGCTGCACGGACACTTTGAAATACCTTGAGGATGCTTTCACCTTCTATGTATGGTTTATTAATAATTAAGCTAAGTTATAAACATCATTTTTTAGTTGTATAGGAGTAATTAGTGATAGAAAAGTATATGTTTTCTAATTTTGTTTATTTAATAAAAAAAATTAAAAGTTTATGTGTATAGCCGCAGAGTAAATAGCTACTGTCATGAAAATGAGGTGCATAAAGGCATTTTCAAAAACAAAATAATGCAATTTTTTTTATTAACGAAAAACATAACCATTTTCAAATACCTCGCTCCATTTTCATTTTATAATTGATTTTCAGGAGATCCTTTAGTATTTGAGTCCAGCATCAAATTAATATGGGACACATGGATAACGCCAGCTATCAAATAAAAAAAGAATCATCAAAATAGGTTCACTCAATCAAAAGTTCTGAAATAATAAACACAAAAAAATACAGTCGAATTGAGAACCTGCTCCGTTTTTGAAGTCGGCTGAAAATGTCACTACCTCTATTTGAGTTAGTAAATGTTAAAACTGAACACCTGGGTGAAGCTGTGTTGAAACGCTAGTATGATACGGTTTAGGCATACAACCGATTTTTGTATTAGATACATTCCTAATATAATTAATAATATATGTAATAGTCAAAGTTTAAAGACAAAATTTGCTAAAATACCGAACGATAGTCACGGAACCTAGTTAGATGGATTTAGATTTTTTTATTTAAAAAATTACAAATGGAACCATTTCGCGATTTGTTAACCATGGCGTTAAAGTTTTAAGCCATCAAATGATGAACCAACAATAAGTAATTCTGTTCTTATTGAGATCAATAATAATCGGTCAAAACCAAATAAAAGTTGTTTTCAACTTAACCGATCTAATAATATAGCAAGATAACTAAACAAATATACATATTATGTACTTCTCAAGGCACGTTCTCAAGGGCAAAAGGAAGTATAAAGATAACTTATTATTCTATAAAACATTTGCATAATAGTGATTACTGGAAAGAGCTTCCATATTTCGTCGCAAACAAACCACATTTAGTTAATAGTTTTTTGTCTCTTATTTATTGTAAGAGGTATGTAGTTATATTATTCTTATTAAACGATATTGTAAGTTTAAACAATAAAAGAGAAAATACGTAACATGATATGAATTGTTTTGTTGAAATAGTTTCTGACGAATGTCACTAATCTAACGTTTAATGAACAGATACTAGGAACATATTCCACAATTGTAGAGACGTATGAATGATCAATAAAATAAGAAAGGAGAGAGTTTGTGTCATACAACTTACATGGATTGTATTTAGGTCATGAGTAGAATAAAAACAAAAACTAAACTTAATTTAACAAATGGATACTTTATACGTATAATCATTAACATGTTTGTGAATATGAAACATTCATAAGTAAACAAGTATGTTATGATATGAACAAAACGAAAAAGATTGAATTGTATTGTTGTATTATTTATACACTCGGCTTTTTGAACCTTATATTCAAGCCTGGCTACGTAACACCATAGTTAACTTACAATCACAAGGTCATTCCGCATTCGGCCCATTCCATCGGTTGTTATAATGACTTTGAATTTTAATCTATCTCTTGATTTATCTTTATAACAGTAAAATCATTGACCGCACGCTTTACACGGAAAGGCAGCCGAGGTTTGAGCTAGAGCAAGTTAGGAAATTGAGAAGTGGGTTTGGTTGCGACGTTTGATATAGATAATGAAAGGCATAGGACAACTACATGGCAATTGCAGTCCGCAGTTAGGAAATTGTTTACTTGGAATCTAAGGTACCCGAAGTTAACGGAATCACTATTTGAATTTCAATGATTATTGTGGGATTTGAACATTTTAAAAATACAGTGGGTGAAGGACAGTGATAAACTGGAGTGGAGTAAATGATTTGCAACATTTTTATGTTTCGTCTTTATTTATGTTATCAATATATAACTGAACTTTCATGAAGTGTACACTTTTGTACGTACATTCTTGTCCTATTTCACGACTAAGTTAAAACATACTAGATAATATGAAAAAATTTGGTTTCGATGTGGACAGAAATTTGCTGTTAGCATCCGCAGATTGCATTGCTTATATTTACTGAAGGAACTTCTTGAAAGCGGTGCTATATACAGATTATTCAAAAAGTATTCCGAGTTTTTTTTATTATTTTCGAAGTATACTTCTTTTGGCGCGTTTGGAAAAAATTATGACAGTAAAATAAAATTTTTACTACGCACACGCACACCGACCCTCAAAAATCGAGATGATGAATTTGGTTGCATAGCAATCAATTTCATCACGCTTTGTTGCTTTGCAATCAATTCATGGTATTACCATGGCAACTTATAACAATTCTTTGACATTTACCTATAATTTCAACGTATAACCGTACATTTAATGTCTTTTTCACAAACAAAGAATATTGGCACATGGGATACAATTTTTAGTTATTTTTCTTTTGTTACACTAAAGATGTATAGCAACTTATTTGCATACATAACTACTCAAACACTTTTTTGATCCATGGTATTGTTCAGAGTCTTGGCGCTGTCTTGACCTCGGTATCCACGAGGAACTCCTGTTGAAATCCCGTTGCCGGCACCAATATTTTTTTTAATAATTTTTACTGCTAATAATATATAACAACGCGTTCCCGGTGAGTAAAGAAAATATCAGAGGAAATCTGTATCTAAGTAATAATTAAAACAAAACATATCTATGTTACGTGAAGTCATTCATTCATAATAAGGTCGAGTGGGTAACGAAGAAGTGTATCGGCTGGAAAGTCGCATAAATATGCAATATTGCGATCACGACATCAAGAAGGCGATCACGCTTTACTAGTTTGAAATGGCTGTAATTCAACGGGCTATAGTAAAATTTTCTTATTCGTATCCAACCGTTGGCAAAAATTTAAAATGAAATAAATATTCATTATTATTTTTATGCCATACCCATATTTGATCTTTCATCCATACGAGGCAATTGGCAAAGGATTGTAGCCTGGTCATTTCATTATAAAGAGACAAATACGTTGTGAATCAGGTCATTTGTCATTGTTGATGATGCCACATGCCACAGGCCACAAGGTGTTCAGACTTCAGGCAGGTAATGATCACAAGTTGCATTTCGTAATACAACCTTTATTGAGACTTCGCAGGAAATTGTGGTAATTTATATTGGGACGACTTTACGTACTAATGGGGTTTGTTTGCCTTCACCGGATGATCGTTACAGATAATGATTGTGTTTAGAATGTCCATTGTTCAAATTGTCTGTGTACAAATCAAGCGTAGATTAAGATTGAGCGTCGTTATGTAGGGTTAAATGGTGTGGTATAATGAGTTGCACGTATACCCTGTGTCTTTCTAGGCCACCGCGCTGCTGTTGTGCGGTGGTTGCGAAAAAGTTTGAATACGTTGTAATTATTGTACCAGCCACCGACCGGCGACTAGGTGCGTCAGCACGCAAATTATTATTTAAGCCAGTGTCGTGTATAATTCTAGGTAGATATTGAACACAAAAATCTATATCATGAATATCCCAAATATATGTATTTGTCAGAAATGACAAAAAAATTTTATTCTTAAAAAAAAATTCTGTCTAAATGAATGAAAAAACTTTGATCATTATCCCAAAATTATTCTTAATAATTGTGTATAATGTTGACATATTAAACACTGTCGTTTGTGTACGTATTGTCAATTAGGATCATATTTTTTTTCCTATTGAAAGTAATTAAAGAAGGGCAATGGTTAAATAAAATATAAAACATTCTGATCAGCAATTAATTTATTTACACATGAGTATTATTACAGTCATCATTTTTCACACACACATAAATATCACAAGCATCAATCATCCGTCACGATTATTTCCATAACATCAGCTAGTGGTTTAGTGATGAAGGAGACCATGATGCCCAAGAGAGAGGGGGGCGATAGCAATATGCGCGATGGGAGCAGCGTGGACGATGGGAGCAGCGTGCACCACGGGGGCGGGGTGGTGTCCAGCAGTTTTGTGAACTACCGCATTGAAGCTGTAAATCACAATTTTAAAGTTACATTCTTAGTTTTCACAGGGCTCTTCATTTTCTCCCCAGAGTGTCATAAACAGTATTAAACTGTGTCGCACTTACCCGTTGTGATCATCAGCGGTGTAGTCCACTTTGCGAATGGAACCGTCGGGCTCGACGAGGGAGTACGAGCCGTGGACGGCGCCACCGTCGCGACTCTCGTGCTGGGACTTGTGGTCGCCGGTGTGTGGGTCAGCGACGGAGTAAGAGTAGTCGTAACGCGGGTGAGACTGTCCAAGTAATGATTAATCGTTTACAAAGATTTATAGAGAGCTTAAGTATGTGCAGACTTAGAACCGATGGTACTCACGTATTCGCCATGGGACAGAGCGATAGGGGCGGCGTGGACAACAGGAGCGGCGTGCACGATGGGGGCAGCGTGGGTGAGGGGTGCGACGTGTAACACGGAGGTGGCATGAGCCACGGGAGCGGCATAATGGGCCTGGGCGTAGTGGATCGGGCTGTCATGACGCACGATGCTTTGCGATGACACCGCGGAGTGGTGAAGTGGCAGCAGACCAGCGCTGGCGGCGGCCAGCAGAGCGCTAAGAGCGACCACCTGTAAAAAAAGTACGTCTTTAGCGATTGCTGTTAAATATAGACAACGCAGCTCAATACAGGTCTTCGTAAAAACTTACTTTGGAGAACATTTTACTTTTGATAATCAGAACCAGTGACTGATATCGTTATCGGTCGGAGTCTGACTTTTATATGAAAAGCAAAACGAAGCTGTAATTCTGGCGGTGGTGGGGTGTGCGGTCACTTAAGTTCCGTAACTTTGACACCGTGAGGTCACTCACGGCTCGCGTGCGGGAAATAATAATAATTCATTAATCTCCCTCTAGCCGTCGGCGCCTTCGCCCTGCAATGGCAGCTACCGATGATATTAATGTGGTAAATAAATGTTGCACACATAATTACGAATATTTATTAAACCTTTTGTACGATTCGCCAACCATTCGAATCCTTTGACTGTAGCAAAATATTAAGCCCTTAAATATTGTTTTTTTTGTTAATATATACATTAACTTATTCAATGTTCAATATTCAGATCAATACTAATTATGAAATCAAAACTGAAAAGAAAATATATTATTTGTAAAAGATTTTTTTTATTGATCAAATTATTGACTAATATCTCAATTTAGGTAGATAAAAAATATTCTTTTCAATGATTTGAAACCGCAACTACAAATCTGTTAGTTAATAGATCCGAAAAATATATGATACAGCTGCACGATGGGCGATTGTGAATTTAATAAGTGAAAGCTTAGCCTTCAGTGCCTTTTAAATGAACAATTAATTAACGATAAATTTGACAATTTATTGACGTGTGGTCGCCTGCATTACCAGCCTTATATTATTACAATACAGGATTACGAAATAGCAATATCGAGTGCACTAAGACTTAAACCACACCGGTGGTCAACGGTTGGGGAAAATATCTATCCGGTATTTGATTTCCTATTTCATTTAACGTTCGAAATGCGATGCCAATGAACCGATGTTGGAAATTGATGAGACAATCGACATAAAACATAAAAAATCCGATACTAATGCTATATTTTTCTATCAAATATCACGCACCGTCGCGTCATGAGTATTATATTATTTACATCAGACAACAGAATGCAATGCACAGTGTTTTGTAGTGTACCAAAATAGATGTTAACAATAAAAGTAGAGGTTTTCTTTTATTCTTAAATAGTATTGTTAGGTGCTGTCCCACAACACAGAATAGCAGCTATGTATGATGAGAGTTGATTTTCATAACTATTCGCGCTCATTCTGCGAAATCGGCTGCTTACTGTATGTCACAAACTTTATCCGAGATTAGAACTTTAGAAATGAAGCGTAAGTAACATAATTTTGAACAAAAAAAACGACTTCAAACAGGATACTAATAAAACATTGTCAAAGCCTATAACATTTGAGGATTGCCCTCGATTTCTCTGGAATGCCATCATCAGATTTGGGTTGCCTTTCGTGGTACCACCCTTGGGATATCTCCTTTCCAACAAAAAAAAGAATCATCATAATCGGTTCATAAATGACGAAATTATCCCCGAACATACTTAAAAAAATATATATACGGTTGAATCGAGAAATCTCCTCCTTTTTTGAAGTCGGTCAAAAATAATTTTATGATTCAAAAGTATAGGTACTTCGTAGGCAACAATAGATAGGGCCACGCAACAGTCTTCGCTGTTACACACATGGGCAGGTCGGTCCGGGGAAGTACCATGACCTCACAGAAGACCGGCGTGAACTGGAAGTGTTATACTTATGCGTTTCATCTGGTGAGTGAGGTAACCGGAGCCCACTTAATTAAAAGGTAGCAACGCATTTGCAACCCTACATTGCAAATGTCCATAGATGGTGTTTATCGCTTAACATCGGGTGAACCGCCAGCTCGTTTGCCACCATTTTACATTAAAAAAAACAATTTCCTTAATTTCTAACTGAATTATATTTTCGTACGTTGCAATATTGTCGTTATTTTGTTTTGTATTAATGACGTATTCGTGAGTAATAAAATCGGTGCCAATTTAACGACACATTACCAATATGTAAAATTGTTTGTGATTACATTCGATATCTGTCTAAATCGTAACAAAATTGATCATGATTGTTGGTCATAAAATACTTACAACTTTTATAGATATCTCTATTGTCCTTCATTTTAGAGAACAAAGGAATAATAATTGAAAAGCTGACTCAAAAGTGCAGCTCAAAAACCCTGTTTAAAGACCATGACTTAATAAAAGTCATTAGCAATCAATTGGTATTGTTGTTAATAACAATAAATACTCGATCGTGAACTTTAGTTCCTGTGCGAGACATTTCATATAAAGTAAAATATTATAATATACATACATTGGAATAGTTTACATGATGGATGTAAAGTATTGCTGCATCATTTCGAAAGGTAATAATGTCCCACACGCTAAGGATGATAAACTATGTAATGTCAATAACCTCGTAGATTGCGTACACTAAATTGAAAATTGATGAGACTTGCACAGTATTAATTTCCTTTTTCTTTTCGACATACATTGACACTTAAATGAAGCCATAGCTAGGCCCATTTATGTATTCGTCAAAGGCACGCAGTAAATTACTTCAGTATGAGTCGTTCATTCTATTTAGATAGAACAGCATTGACGCTTAGACCTTTTATCAGAAACACAGAATGGAAAAAATCTAAAGAACTGATTTTTATATTCTCCGTTCTTAAACATTTCCTATAAAAAACATAATTAAATAAACGGATTGCATTATTATAAATAATAACGTGAAAAAAAAAATCTATCGAAATGCTGGTTTTATATGAACATGGATACAAATTATATCATAATATGTATGTACATGTGATTTGTTTCTGTATTGATTGCCTGAGCAGGTTTGGAAATACGAGCAAAAAATACAAGACATTACGTGAGCAATTTTTAACAATTTTTTTTTCAGTCTTATAATTGTATCACTATTAATCACGTAAATCATATTAGTAAATAACTCATTTGACATATATTATTACTTTTCATATTTCACTCATATTCAAACGGAATGTATATCAGGAATATAATTTTTTTATCTTATGAAAACTACGAAAATTCTAACATTAATAGTACGGTAAAAGAAGTTTTTATGATACAAAGGAATTAACATATTAATTGTTATAAGGGGAAAATTATAATCTGTTTGTGATTCTCATATTATCTATTTGTAGTCAAGGCAGGTGATTTAACTCGATTTCAATTTCGTGCACTACGTTAAGAAACAATTTTCATTCATCTTCAAAATTATAATGTCATGACAGTTCAGTTTCCGGTATCAATATGTCTATAATTTTTGCTGAGATAAAATTTCGGTTACTATAAAACATTTAGTGTTATTATGTTATATGCTGCCTGATCACTTGCTGGTAGATGAATCTAAAAATACAATAAATATATCAATGAAACATATATCGTACCCACAAGCAAATCCTATCCTCCAATATTTTCAGAGAATAGCAGATTTTGCCCAGTAGTGGGACATACATGTATAGACTGTACTTTAAGTTAAATTGCTAATATAGTTGACCATAATAACAAGCAAGTAAGTAATTATACGATGTACGATTACCGTATTGTGCAATCTAACTTATTCCCGTATCTCTGCCCCTCCGCTTAAATTCTATTAAATGTCATTGCTACAATGAGAGGTTAATGTTCCGCCACGAAATAATTCTTATTGGAGCTATCTGAATAAATTTCCTTGTCAAATAAATCTATGTTAATGAATAAACTCGTAGTAATTATGTTTTTTTTTGCCTAATAGATGCAACAACTTTGCGTAAAAGTTGACAGATTTCATTTAAGTTATAAAAATGTTGTCATTGTTATAAATGAAAGGCGACGAATTAGCGGGTAATTTAGTAAGATTAGCATAACAAAAAACCTTAAAATTACATTTAAAATTCAGAATAAGTTAAATTAAATAAAGAAATGGTGTTAAGCATTATTTTAATAGCTTAAGATATTGCAACTGCAGTTGACCAAACAAGTTTTCTATTAAACAAGGGCAGCCACAACTACCTGGTTCTGAGGAAAGCTCTGCCCACGATCTTTCTCAATATGCGAGAATGCTAAAGGATCTGATCGACTATTAACTGAGTAGGTACGAAGTGATACATTTTATATCTCATGCAATAAATCAACTAAATCAGATGATGATAGAGCTGCAAGCTCTATCATCATCTGATTATAAGAAATAAGGGCATTTTAGTTTTAAATTAATAATCGTCGAGATAAGCATACCTGATACCATTCCTGTGGTAGGACCATTCGGTAGCTTCCGCAGTTGTAGATATGGTCAGAGTAGTCTGGGGGGAATATCATTCAAGACCGATGTGAAGTGAAAGTGTGAAGTGGTGTGTGAGGTAAAAGTTCGAAAAACCGTATCTGCTCACTTGTGTTGAAGATATTCATTGGTGGCGGTTACCATTAAGCATGCATCGTCTGGTTACTTGCCTCACATGAGGCACGTAAAGTTTATTAAGTAAATTTTTTGTCAAAGGTGAAATAGTAACACGTACATTTACTAAATATGGTTGTATTTAGAAAAGTGTCCGCCGACTGTGCTGTTTGCGTATATGCGTGAGTTGCGAAAGGTCCCACGGAACTGGGTCAGGAACGTGTAAAATAGAAGCCTATAAGACAATCTTAGCTATTTTCCTACACTTAGTCGATTTTCACGTTTTTTAACCTGTATTAGTTATTTATTAACAACTAGCGACCCGCCCTGGCCTCGCACAGGCGCAATGCAAATTTATCGATACTTTTAAGATAAACAATTTCGAAGTACATTAATTTGATCAAATTCGTAAGATTTAGCCATCGTTTGGGATGTAAGCGCACAAAAATATGTTTTTTATGACATTACATTGTAAATCTTTGAATTTCTCAGCTTTTTTCTACTAAAATATACTACAAGCATATTTTAGCGGAAAAAGCTGAGTACTACTACTAATAAATAAATATAAACCTTCTTCTTTGCTTGAATCACTTTATCTATTACTGAAAATCGCAGTAAAATCCGTTGCGTAGTTTAAAAGAGAGCGTACAAACATCGGGGCTGACTTTGATTAGGCGGCATCTGGTATATCTTTAACGATAAAATTTAAAATATTTATCTGATTTAAAAAAATAACCTTGATATTCTTTACAAAACAAGGTGGATATCCAAATATTGGTTTAAATGAAGCTTAATTATTGAAATAGTTTATGCACGTACAAATTTACATTATGTACTTAAATTTATTAACTTTCCTGTAGAAAGGGAATGATAAACATGTAATTAAATAATAATAGCTTATAAACTTACACATTTATACAGTTATGTGTTTTGTTCTAATTTTATTATTTTTTTATTGTGCTAGTTTTGTATGTTACTGTTCTCCTTAAAGGAAGTCTTTTATTCGGTGTTGTGTTTACCTTTAATTTAGATGCATATATACAATGTTAAACTTAATTTTTAAGTGCATCACATCTGAATAATAATTGTTTTTTTATGTGTTTAGTTGGTAAGCCTGTTTAAATAAAGTAAAAAAAATAAACTAATAAAATCATTAATTATTTTCAATGTAAATAGCAGCGGCAGCCTCGTACTGGCCATCGCAGTGTAGGACGACCCCCCACTAGATGGAGTGACGACCTGTGCAAATGTGCGGGAAGTCGATGGATGCAGGTGGCTCAGGATCGTACTTCATGGCAGTCTGTGGGGGAGGCCTATGTTCAGCAGTGGACTCAAACAGGCTGAAATGATGATGATGATGATGAATGTAAATAGAAGTGTATTTGTAAGTTAATAAACGTTGATTTTTATCTTTTAAACGTTGAGTTTCTCGTTCACAGCAACAAAACCGTCACTGTAGGTTACATTAACGACAGTTACAATGTCGTTATAAATTACCATGTTTGCTTTGCTTTCGTCATACAATGCATATTTATATTATAACAATGTTTCATAACGCAGCGCAGATCTGTTTGAGGTGTGTACTTATTTCAATTACATTATTTTGTACTCGTTTCATTTTGAAATAATTACTCATTGATTAATGTTCGCGAAATAAATAAGAGTGGTAAAATATTACTTGTTTATTTTGTACTTAGCATGTTCATTGACTAAAAAGCTCACAATCGGACTAAATATTTTACTTTGGGTAATTAATGAATCCTCTTCTAAATATTCTAATAGTGGTGTCGTTGCGAAGAATACACATGGTGGCTGGGCCCGGAGTTGTGCACGACCGCATTGAAACTGTAAAGAAACATCACATGTTAATCACGATGTTTATTTCTGTTATGAGAACTCGTTTGAAACTAGTTTAAATATATGGCACCTATTGACCGACTCATGAATGCAGTCAGCAGTCGCTTACGTGCCCAAAGGTCAAGTGAGTTCATTACTCACATGAAACCGGAACGCGGTTCGAGTGACCGGTCTGACAACCATATGATCTCATACGATTATCGATTTAACTTCCGATCCGGCCTACGGGGAGCGTCTTACGAAGCAATTTCGAATACAACTGGTGAGTTTACAAAACCAGGCCGGTTTTACGTAATACAAGGAAAGCGTTTGCTGTCGGTGGTGCTTGGTTGACGCGTTAGTGTTAGGATTGTGTGTATTGTATTACCCGTTGCGGTCGTCGGCGGAGTAATGGACCTTCCTGAAAGAGCCGTCAGGTTGTAAGAGCGAGTATTCGCCTTTCACGATGTTACCGTCGCGGCTCTCTTGTTGGGCTTTGTGGTCACCGGTATGTGGGTCCTCCACGGAGTAGGAGAACTGGTACTTAGGTGGGGACTGTAAAATAATAATTTACGGATATATAATAATATATATTATTATAATTCTAAACAATAATTCATATTCCAACCTGAACTAATTGGTTATCCATGTACTTAAAGATATTGAAATGGAGAAGGTATAATTATATCTTATATATTATAAAGGTATAAATATTTAAATAGAATAGGTATATTTACACACAGTATGAACACTGAAGCGTATTTACATTAAAATTTTATAATTTATTTATTATTTATTTAGCTATCATGATCATCATCATTTTAGCCTCTTTGGCCATAGGCCACTACTGGCCATAGACCTCCTCCATGATCTCTAAGGAAGCACAGTCCTGCGATACCTCTATCCATCGACTTCCTGCACATTTGCACAGGTCGGCACGCTATCTAATATGTGGTTTTATACTGTGATGGTCAATTCATTATTTAATTTTTTTTTCATTTAATGTAAGTAATCTTATCTTATTGAAATAGTTTTACTTACGTAGTAGTCATTGTAGGTTCCTTGGTTTCCATATCCAGAATAACCTCCAATGTGACCGGGAGCATTGGCTCCACTGTAAGCTAACGACGCTCTATTTCCATATGCTAAAGCACCAGAATATGCCAGAGGAGCGCTGTGGGCTATGGGAGTGCCATAGGATAGTTGTGTACCATGGGAAAGTTGCGATGCATAGCCCAAAGGAGTAGCCTGGGCCAGAGGGTTAGCATGACCTAGAGGAGCAGCATGGGCTATAGAATTAGAAAGGCTTATAGGAGCGGTAAGGGCTAGAGGAGCGGTATGGGCTAGAGGAGCGGTATGGGCTAGAGGTGCGGTTTGGGCTAGAGGAGTGGCATAATTTAAAGGAGCAGTATGGGAAAAAGAAGTGGCTGGAGTTAGAGTGGCACCGTAAGATAAAGGAGTGGCATGGGAAATAGGAACGGTACGAGTTAGAGGAGAAGCATGGGCTAGAGGAGTAGTATGGACTGGAGTAGCTCCAAGAGCGATGGAATTAGACTGGGCAAAGGATGTAGCATGGGCTAAGGGAGCTGAGCGAGCTAAGTTACCGCCGTACGCTGAAAGAGCACCATGTGCAGCGGGAACCGCTTGGGCTATCGGTGCTACATGAGCTATTGTGGCAGAATATCCAGAAGGAATTCCTTGATTAAGTCCACCGGTAAGGGAAAGAGGAGCAGATTGTGCGTATTGGGAACTACCGTACGGTGCTGCATAACCTCCATGGTTACCCCGCAGAAGCCCAGCTTGTGCGATAGCTATCGCCGCAGCGAAAGTTAAGATCTGAAAATTAACGCAAATTTAGAATCATGCACGGATCACTAACATTTAATACACACTTCTTGTTCAATTTTTAGTACTCACTTTAGTAAACATTTCTAGTGTTGGAATGTAGTCCGTGACTGTGATACATTTCATGAAGATCAGTGGGTTTTATAAGAATTGTAATTGAGAACCCGGTGGGGCGTCGAAATCGCTTAGCGGAGCATCCCCGCCGGGTTACAAGGTTGCTACGCTTTGTATTCACATTCTCATATTACACATTAACAAGTTAATGATCGTTCCTAAACAATTACTTTCTGTGAAATGCCTATGCTACGGCGCTTAATTGTGGGTCAATGAGGTTCATGATAAGATGTTTATTGTTACATTAGCAAGTTTAATTTAGCGGTACGTCTGCGAGATCGCGAAACAGAGGTCTGGGTGTTGCGATTGGTGGTCATAAAACAAATGCTTAGCGTTAAAAACAGTCCCTGCTCAATTATTATATTACGTTAAAATATTAAGTAACAAAGTTAAAGCCATTCAAATATAACAAATTATTTTTATAAAATATATATTGCCTTTGTGTAGCTTTTGCCGTGGTGTGTCTTTGTTGATGACTCATATATATATATATATATATATATATATATATATATATATATATATATATATATATATATATATATATATATATATATATATATATATATATATTGTAGGTACTTTGATTCTACATTTGCATGTGGGTATTTGTTAATCTTAACGTGGGAACTGAATACCGAATAAAAGTTAGTCTTGGTTCACTCATGTTCTCTCATTAACGTGTCTATTTAACCCAACCCAAACATGGCGCAGTCGGTAGGATCAAGTTAAAGTAAAAAATCATAAATTAAAATCAAGAAGTGAAATAAGTCGTCAAAGTAAAACACGCCGTAAAAGCAAGTTTTGAAAATTATTATTCTAACGAGAACTGTATCAACGCAATGGAGTCCGTGTTACAACCGCCTCAACCGTTTATTTTGAAAACAATTTAAGTAACGTGACATCGGTTAATTTATCCAAAGAGTGGGAAAAATGGAAGAAAGCATTTCTAATATATTATGAAGCCTGTGAACTTGCGAAAAAGTATCAAAAAGTACAAATTAACATTCTTCTACACGTCATCGGAGATAAGTGCCAGGAAGTATATGACCAACTCCTTTTGGAAAATGGACTGAAAGAATTTAAAACTATCTATTAAGTGCTGAAGCAGCAGAAAGCATCAAATTTTAATGATGCTTTCTTTCTTCCACAAAAGAACATAACGATGACGCGACACATGTTTTTCACACGTGACCAACAAGAAATGAAGACTACCGAACAATACGTTTTCGAGTTGAACAAGATGGCGGCAAAATGTGAATTTAAAGATTTATGCCAGGACTTAGTACGTGATAGACTTATTTGTGGGATAAGAGACGGAAATATAAGAGAAAGGTTGTTAAGAGAACCTCACCTAAATTTAAAGAAAACCGCGGAAATATGTACTCTAGCCGAAATGTCGAGAGCGCAGGCTGTAAACACAAAGTCAGAGAGGTCGGAGCACCACGTTAATATCATTAAAAATGATGCTGAGCAAGATGAAGGTAACGCAGAGATCAACTGGATGAACCATCAACGTCGCGCCAGGACTTCGGGCGCTGTACCTGCACCACGTCCGCGCCACCAGCATGCCAGTGGCGGCGGCAGTCGCACCGCGCACTCACAGCAACCCTTGGCGTACGCTCGGGAGCGAAGGGTGAACTCCAAGACTATCCGGAATTGTTGGAACTGTGGTGGGACACATGGTAAAAACTACTGTCCCGCCTATGGTCAACGGTGCCGCAAATGTCAACGCATGAAGCACTATTCACGTATGTGTAGGGTGCATGGGATTGAAGAAGACTCCAGCGATCAGGTAAATAAAAATTGTAGTAATGACTGATAATGGTCCTGAGTTTGCATCAAACTCATTTCATGAGTTTGCAAATGAATGGAAGTTCCGGCATGTGACGTCATCACCCAGATATCCTCAATCCAACGGCCAAGTCGAGCGTGCTATACAAACGGTTAAAAATATTATGAGAAAAACGGCTTTTGATCAAGGGGATTTTTCATTAGCGTTATTTGAATATTTAAATACACCGATTAGTAATGAATTACCCAGTCCAGCAGAGTTATTATATAATAGAAAGCTCCGCAGTATAATTCCTTGTTCTCCAAATTTGCTGCAACCCAAAATTAACGAAAACGTTGCAAAAATACTGCACCGGCGACAACAAAAGCAAAAAAATGTTTTATGACAGAGGTTCTCGACACTTGAAAGAGCTAGCAGTTGGGCAAAAAGTTAAAGTTTTAATAGACAACAAATGGCTGTCCGGCACAATTAAAAATATTGTAGGCCCAAGATCATATCTAATTATCATGCCATCAGGAAACATCTTAAGACGAAATAGAAGGCATATTATTGTAGATTCAAACACACGCGTCAATGAGTCGTCTAAGTTTAGCACCCAATACGATGACATTTGTGTAGAAAACAATATGCGCTTCGCAAGCGCCGGCACGCCACACGGCTCTTGTACCCCGCCACAAGGTCGTTGTTCGCAATCAGCTGATCGCTTACCTTATGCTAACCACTATTATCGCACTCGTTCCGGCAGGGAAGTGAGACCTCCTGATCGCTGGGGCTTCTCTTCACCACAGTCGTAAGTGATTAATTTATTGGTAAGAATTCTATTCTATTTTTTAATTAATATAATGTGAACCTATTTAAATTTTGATGATTATTTTAATGTGTGTTTTAATTTTAATGTTTATTTTAATGTTTATTTTAATGTGTATTTTAATTTAATTTAAAATAAAAATAATTATGTGCAATGATTTTTTAATTAATTTAATGTAATTAATAATTGTTTATTGGATGATTGATAATTAATAATAATGAATAGCAATCGGCAATTGAGATTAAATTGATTTTAAATGAATAATTCTTATTGTATTTGCATGTTACTTTTCTTATAGTATTTTCCATTTATACCTTATATTATTATAAATTGAATTTGTAAAATTCTGAAATGTTAATAATATAAGAAAATAATTAAGTAAATATATTTTAAAGATGAAGTTAAATTACAAATATCACCAATATATATATAGATATACATATTTCTTTTAAGTTTATGAATTTGGAATAAATAATAATGTAATACATTTAAATAGAAATTAAACTTAGGATAATCATAATGAAAATCTGTGCTTATCGTGACTAAAAATATGTAAATAATTTATTTGATTAATTATTAATTGCTTTTTTTTTTATTTGTTATTTTTTTTTGTAAACAAGGGGATTGTAGGTATTTTGATTATACATTTGCATGTGGGTATTTGTTAATCTTAACGTGGGAACTGAATACCGAATAAAAGTTAGTCTTGGTTCACTGATGCTCTCTCATTAACGTGTCTATTTAACCCAACCCAAACATATATAACATAAAAATAAAGACTCGACTACGAGGCTGGCATTCGAGAACCATTTATCCCTATTGTTTATCGGTTCTTCGATCTATATAGCCGACTGATTCCCATTTCAGCTTACTAATTTTCTGAGCTACATTGTTTATTTTGTTCTAGAGCTCGCAATTTCGATATTCGCGATATCTTCTTTGAGAACTCTATCATGCAAGGAAATACTGATCATAGCCTGCTCCATAGTACACTGAGCGAGTTTGAGCTTCCTCAAATGGCCAGCAGTGAAGTCAAGTGAGTTCAAGTCTCGTTTCCCTAGGTAATCACTGAAACACAATGACAAGAAGATATTATGCCTTAGTTTACCAAACGCTGCCCATTCGAGTTGAATTTATCGGTTGACCTTTATTAATGCTCTATTACTAACCCTAAAAAATGTAACAAATAATGGATTTAATGGGCGAAGGCATCCTTTAACAGTCAACTCAGGATGTAGTCAGAGCTTATAGTAGGTGCAGGAAGAGGTGTAATAGTTAGAGAATGTGATTATAGAAGGAAAATAATTATAAGATATATGCATCATCACCATTGTCCTCATCATCAGCTGCAAGAATTCCACTGTTGAACATAGGTCTCCTGAATGAACGACACTTTGCCATATGCACACTGCTTGCCCGCGACTCTTTAGGATGTCGTCGGTCCACTTAGAAGGAGACCTTCCAATACTACGTCTCCAGGCCGTATCCCATGAACCGTGATATTTAGACGGTTGTATTTGTCATAGATGAAGTATTTCTGTTTCTAATGCAACAATAAATTGTTTAAGTGGGGCTCCCATACAACAGATATGATATTTTTACTGTTTTTATAGATCGCACTTCGCCTTGGTGTTTTTTTATTACATTTTTAAACAATGTTTGGCGTCATATAGTGTTGAATCTATATGATGTATATGAATAAAGGGCAATTGATAAAGTTAAGACTGTGAAAGATGTAATATATTTAAGACTAGCTGCTGCCCGCGACTACGTCTGCGTAAAATAGGCTGAAGGCATAACATTCAGACAGAAAGACAGATATACATAAAATATGTATATAAGTTATAGCCTATTTTTTTTGGGCTGGATGAGCCACTGTTGTCCTTACGGGCCTTCACAGATCCGACGGGATTGAGGTGGCCTGGCGCACGGGGTGCCTAGCCTGAACCTCGGCGTATTATTATTACGCTTTTATGGTGACTAAGCTCGAGGGCTCCCGAGGGAGCCTCGGTTCGGGCCGTCTCGCTATTATTATCACCGGTTTGGGAGGCCACCAAGCACTTAGGGCGCTTTGGCGGGTACTCCATGGAGTGATCAGGCTCAAGGGTCACCAAGAGGGGACCTCGGCTTGGGCTGTCACTCAACACGCGTTTAGCATTCCGATTCAAGGGTGCCCGAGAGGGCCGGACCTCGGCTCGGTCGGTAGCTATTATCTGACTGGGGGAATTTCTAGATCTAACATTACTACCACTTCGGAAAGCGTTGGCGCTGGGAGAAGTGGCGGAAGAAACTCCAGCAACGCTTCTATCATTAATTATAGCCTATGTCTTATTCTGATGTATAAGCTATATAATTGTAAAGTTTCATTAAAATCCATTCAGAAGTATTTGCGTGAAAGAGTAACAAACATCCATCCATACATACAAACTTTCGCCTTTATCATATTAGTAAGGATATAACGATATGAAATGTAGTTTTGTAGAAATAGTATTATAAATTCTTATAGAACTTTTTATAATACAGAAGGCCACCCATCGTTTTCTGCTGTAGCACAAACGGGCTAGTTTGTTAGAAAGTAACACGGTAGGTAGCTCGTCCGTTAGGAAGTAACACGGCCTCACTGTTGAAATGGGAAGTGGAAGAATTATACTTTCGGGTTTCGTCTTGTGAGTGTGTAGTCCGATTTTTCATACGCTGCAGGAACTCCACAGGTTTTGTGAATGTCCGTGAGCAGTAGTATTCAATTGACAACAGAATCTCCTGGTTTCAACCAGAAGATTCATCTGTTGTCAATTATCAAATATAATTGTTACCTTCAGGTAACAATATCTCCACACGTTAAAAAAGGGAAATAGGAGTATATAAAAGGAGTAAAGGAGTAAACAGCCTATAATTATAAGTCCCTGAGCTGGGCGAAGGCCTTCTCAGTACAGAGGGAATTTTAAATAGTTTAATTATTTTGTTTATAGGTTTATATGTTAAAAGTTAGGTTTTTAAAAATACTGTCGTCGTTGATAGTCTTTTATACTTAAAAAGCTAACAAAACGCTATATCAAAATTTAACAATAAAGATAATTATCACGCCCACGTTTAAATACATAAACGTGTGAAAATCTTATTTCACATTGAAGATCACTTAACAAATATCAATTATCTTAACAGGCGCGAAGCAACGAGCTATTGTGATCTTGGCCCTTATTTTAAAACTGATATTCTTTTATAATTTTTAATTACATTTTACTTATTTTTTTATTACAAATGTCCTCGGGAATAGATACTTTAGTTTACATAAAAACTTGAAAAGATAAAATTTTTACAATGATATTGGCTATTCATACAAAATTGAGGTTTGGGGACTAGCCCCTAAACCTCATTTTTAGGGTTCCGTACCCAAAGAGTAAAACAGAATCCCTATTACTAAGACTCTGCTGTCTGTCTGTCTGTCTGTCCGTCTGTGTATCATGAACCGTGATAGTTAGACAGTTGACATTTTCACAGATGATGTATTTCTGTTGCCGCTATAACAGTAAATACTAATAAAAGATTATAAAAAAATATTTAAGTTGGGATCCTATACAACAGACATGATTTTTTTTTGCCTGTTTTGTATATGATGGTACGGAACCCTTCGTGCGCGAGTCCGATTCGCAATTGGCCGGTTTTCAGTTACTACTAATACAAATAATTTACTTTAATATAGAAATGAAATACGATTTTAGAAATGGAACAACACAAAAAACTGAGATTGAAATAATGGAGATATCTATTGATATAGTTTAATAAATTATTTACACATCACAATAAACAATTACACGGGAATTAATAATGGTAGTAAGCTGTTTGGGGATGAACGGAGGGCGTGTTGTGAACTACAGCGTTAAATCTGAAAAAAAAAGGTAAATAGAATATTTATTTATTTGTTCTTTATTGAAACATCTTAATGAATGACTCTTAATATAAATCTTTTTAGTAAAATCGTATTAAGCGCCTTTATAGAGATACGTTTACCAATCTATTTTTTTTTATCGTAATCTATTCTATTTGATCGTGAAAATAGTTTGATTTAACACTTAATAACGCATGTAATGTAAAGAAAAACTTTGCCACTTTGGTCAGCGGCTGTTATTAGCTTCGATTAAATTCCATAGCCGCACACAATATTAGCGTGAAGTAGAAGTATTATAATTTCGCGTTTCGTCTGGTTAGTGAGGTAATCGGAGCCCACATTTTAATGGCTGGCGACGCATCTGCAACCCGTTAGCTAACGCGTACACTAGGTACACCCGCGTTCGAGGACGCGTTTTACCGTCCCCAGACACGGTTTTACGGTGGTAGGGCCACGCAGCAGCCTCGGCTGTTGCACGAATGGGCAGGCCCGTCCGGGTAAGTACCACGACCTCACAGAAGACCGGCGTAAAGTGGAAGTATGACAAATACTTTCGCGTTTCGTCTGGTGAGTGAGGTAGCCGGAGCCCAATTTTCAAAAGGTTGTCAACGCATCTGTAACCCTCGAGTGTAGCAGATGTCCATGGGCGGCGGTATTCACTTAACATCAGGTGAACCGTCTGCTCGTTTGACAACTTTTCGCATAAAAAAAAAAAAAAAAAAAAAAAAAACATCGACTAAACAAGTGAACGGCCATCGGGGTCACGGTCTGCACCGAACCTCGATGGCCCGTAGACGACATGTCATAACTAACGCACGCGCGGACCTACCCACTGAGGAGGGCCTCAAGCCCGTGGGTTCTGGCTAGCACATCAGTTCTGCGTTCGATGAAGCTTTAATAGTCTAAGGACTGAAAGCGTAACATTAGTTAAAGAACCTGTTTAAACCGGTGCTTGCTTACGTAATTAAAATTTAGGAGAAAGAGGACTAACCCGCTGTGGTCGTCCGCCGTGTACGTGACCTCACGTACGGATCCGTCAGGCTGCACTAAAGAGTAGGAGCCGTGTACAGCGTCACCGTTTCGGCTTTCGTATTGCGACTTGTGATCGCCGGTGTGAGGGTCAGCCACGGAGTACGCGAAATCGTATTTAGGGTGTGCCTGGTTAAAATAATAAACGACAGTGGTGTAAGGGCATTTCTTCACGCGGACTTTTCGCGAATTAAAAAACTATTCTTTCAGCTCCAAACATAAGGTGAATCAGAATCGATTTAAGGCAAAGAAGTTTTAAGTAACTTAATGTTCAGTAGATACAGTAATAATATTAATTTCAAAAATGTTCCTTATAGGATATGGGTGCGCTATGTGGTGGTACTATGATTGAAATTATTAAAAAAAAACTTTAACAATTCCAATGGATTGAGGTAAATAAAATTGAAGCCACATTAAATACGTGTTTATCGCAAACGATATTCGTTGAGGGCTGTTACTAACTTTAAGGATAACGTATAAGGTACTTTAATTAATACCAAAGCTGGCTTTTCAATACTTTTAAAAAAACCAGAAAAATTATACGGATATACCAATTGTCAGATAACTGATTTAGCTTAAATTCAGTATTTTTATTGGTTTAACTAAAAAAGTATCATGTCTATTAGAACCTTCAATACTTACGAAATAATCATGACCGTTATAATAAGCGGCGGGTCCATCATAATGGCCCGCGTAGCCTAACGGAGAATAAGCATGCGAGAAAACTGGGGAGGAGTGTCCATCATGACGCACGATGTTCTGCGAAGAAATGGCGTGACCGAGCCCATGATAAAGTCCGGCATTGGCAGCTGCCAGCAAAGCACTGAAGGCGAATATCTGGAAAAGAAGTTTTTGATACAGATTAAAACATAATTCAGGTCTGCCGATGTAACAGAAACATTTTCTAATATGAAATGTATATAAAATTGAGACAATGTCACTTACTTTGCTGAACATTTTGGTGATGTTTGGAATAGAGGTAATCATTGATTGCTGTCATTGGAAACTGACCGCAGTTTTTATATGACTTAACACCGAGCCAGAACAAGTGGGGCCGGTGTCAAACCATACGGACCTCGGTACAACAAAGAGAGTAAAAAAGGCGTGATTAACCCCATTTGTCGTTGCAATATGTGTCATGGTATCGATATCTATTGCCTGTGACCATGACACAGTGAAACTACAATGAAATAGACGTTTAAACACGATTTTTTTAAACATTAATGTCATATCTTTGCCATACTTTACTGACTATTAAACGTTATGTTTTGGTGTTGACCGCAAAACTGTGCCAAAAAAAATAATAATCTCAGAATAGAATTCAATTTTAACTCACTGTAAAGTTAGTAAAGTAATAGCCTTTATATGCCGCACTGCTGGGTAAAGGCCTCCTGTGTGCAGATGGTATTAGGGTATGCCTTAATACATAGTCCACCTCGCGACCCCACTGCGGATTGGCGGGCTTCACATATTTTTGAAATTTAGTTCTTATTATTTTGTGGAAAATGTGCAAGTTTCCTCACGACGTTAGGAAAACGTGCTCTTTGTGATAGCTCTTTGTCCAGGCGGTTGCTTTGAATTCAATATATTATCTCGGTACCGGCACCAATGAACTTGTTAATTTTAAGTGCTGATTTATCACGTGATCAGTGGTGAACATACTCATACATAGGATTTTGATTATATTGTAATGTTCCAACTTAAATTATTTTCTATATAAAGTCAAAATTCAATTTGGAATAAAATATAAAAATTAATAAGATATAAATAAAAGATAAAAGTGCTCCTACGTCTACTAAATTCAAATCATTAAAGCAATTTATTATTTTTATATTAAAAGAAAAATATTATTTATGCTGCTAAATATACAGACAAACAATGTTCTTTTTATCGCTTTTAGAAATCAAGCCTAAGCAAAATTTCGTAAAATCGTATTATCTTGTGAAATGTAAATACTTTACGACGTTGAACTTTTGTCGTGAAAATTTTCTAGTTGTATAATTGTTTACTTTATATAATACTTCTAAATGTGCCTAACCGTAAATGGACTGGTGGCGCCGTTGCTCAGCTATTGGCTTCGGCGTCAGGTCGTGGGTTCGATTACGACACGGGACAAGTATTTGTGTGACCCTAAGGTAATTGTTCTGAATCTCTTTGTTTCCCAAGGAGGGTTGACGTCAGGTAAGCGGCCTGCCATAAAAATAAATATAAATGTAGCCAAACGCTTTCTATATCCAGCATTCACATTTTGTCCTAGACCCCACCTAGGTGGTTGAGGGTAGAAGTATGATGTGCATAACCATAAATGTAGTTTAATTTATTAGATTCTCCATGAAACAGGATTTTCACATTAATTCAGTACTTTTATAAACATGTTTTTTTTTGTCAAATAAAGGTTAAAAAATGTCCAGCTGAGCTTCTTTCGCCGGTTCTTCTCAGGTCTTTGGCTTCCATTTCCGAACCGTTGGTAGCGTTTTGACAATCATTAAGTAAGTGTAATGCTTCTATCCATACTAATATTATAAATGCGAAGGTAACTCTGTCTGTCTGTCTCGTTATCAAGGCAAAACTACTATACCGATTTAAATGAAATTTGGTATACAGATAGTCTAGAACCTGAGAATGGACATATGCTTTTTTATTGGAAAAAGGATTATAAAGGGTTCTTAGATAGGGTTATAAAGGGTTAGGGATAGATATTTATTTAAGGGCTTCAACGTAAGCGAAGCCGCGGGCGAAAAGCTAGTATTGAATAAAGATATTTGAATTTGAATTTGAATTTGGTATCAGTCAAAAGTTTTTGCAGTCGGCCGAATGGGCGAGATCATCCAGGGGCCTCAAGTAAAATTAATTGTATGCTAATTTTTAGACGTAATTATTTGTTACTGAACTTCATCGAGCAACTGAGGTAACAGGACACACTCTAAAAGTTTGGGAAATGCAGAAAGTCACTACTGAAATTCTTAATATTTTTACTATAGGCAATAAAACAAAAAACAATAATGATAAAACTAAATGATCTTATATTATTTACTATGAATTCTTCATTTAGTTAAACATTTTTTGGGAAGTTTGTTTAGGCGAGTATCTGATGCGAACTCAGGACGCAATGTGTATGAGTTACTGTGGACGAGTTAGAGATTCTGCGTAACACATGCTCGATGCTTGGGAATAAAACACGACGAATCCTAGTCCAGAGGATCAAGGAGGACCTCTACCAGTCGCAGTGGTGGCTGCGCCGGCGGAGAAGTCGACTTCTATCGATCAATCCCACTGGAGTACTATGGTATCGAGCTGATGGAAACGAACGTGCCGCCCCATCAACCCTGTAGTCCCTTACTCATAGAATAGGTCCAAGGTATGCCTTGCTTGTTCGTAAAGGGAATTAAAATGGAAAACTGGGTCCACGGGTGATCGAAATGAGGTCCCTGATCGTCATTTTTAGTGGACCAGGTCGGGGTAGCAGTACGATGTGGTCCGGTACTATCGCAAAATGATGAATCGAGGAAGGTTTTTCCTTCTCTGAGAGGTGCTCATCAACGGCATTGGTGAATATCCGTAGGAGATCTAAGAGCCACTTTAAACGTATTGAAAGTGCCAACCGAAGGGGTTTTAGTGGGTACCAACTCCAGGTAACTCTGTGATTGCCAAGGTATTCTTCTAAAGTTATTTTGAAGATTTCCCTAAATTTAAAGGTAGAAGGTTTAATAATCTTAATTAAATTAAAGACTTATTTTAGATATTATTTCTGTCGGAAGTCAGCAACCGGTAATCAATAAAAATGATTTGTTACATATTTGGAAATTAATGAATAATTTTCTTTTCATACCGACGCCTCATATATGTATAGGTATTAATTTAACTGCCGCAGTTTATTTCACAAGTTTGCTTGGAATTCCAATACTTTACATATCGCAAATTATTTTGTTCACATGTCACTGCTTGCTACCTTTCAAATCTTCCGTCTATTTTATAAAACTTGCTGAAATTTTATAGGTACGCATTTACATGCTTCAATTTCATGAGCAATTTAAAAAAGCTTACCAAGGAGTAGATATAGAAACTAAATAAAAATAGGATTTTTGGTCTTAAAAAAACCAAGTGAAAATGAATGTTGTATATATAAAAAACCAGTTAAATTAGCAACATTCATAAATATGCACTATTAAGGCAATGTTTGGTAGCATTTTAAGAGGACGTGACGGATTTTAGTGATCAAATTAGTAAATAATAAAATCTATTTTGGAATAATTTATTTTAGTTTCAGGTCTTAATGAACGTCACATGTATTAATACCAAAGCTTGTTGAAATATAATTTCACAAAAGGGAAATCCGTATAAAATTTACATTTTTATGCAATAAGTATTTCGAGCAAGCCGTTCACCTGGTATTAAATGGTACCGCTGCCCTTGGTCAATGGAAAGAGCCTATGGCTTCTAGATGTTGCCAACTTAGAAAAGAGTGGGAACTTTTTCTCCACCCACTAGATGCAATAACATAACTCTGCTAAACACTGTTCTTCCCTGAGATCTTGAAATGTCTCGCCAATTATGAAATAGCAGAAGAGAATGAAATTACATGAATTGGCAATTTAGCCCTTCCACAGACAAAAAGAACTGATCGTAAGATAACGTGGGTTTTAATTAGTTCTTATGATAATAATATAAAATGAACCACACGTTCAAAAAATTTTAATGGCTCAGTTATGTAAAACGCTGAGCTTGATATAATAAAATTACTTAATTAGGTTAATAGCTATGACGCCTATTACAACAAACAGGGTTAATAGCCTGAGAAGTTTTTATTTGGTTGTTTGTTTTATTTAGTGTTTAACATTTTTCTTCGAGATTTATAAACATTTCTGTGCATTTAATAATGAACTTTGAACGGATTTTCTTGCAGTAGCATAGAACGAAACCATAATTTTAAATTTCTGATAGTTGAACTAATAAAGACCTATTTAAGTTATACCATCTCCTTTACATTTGTTAAATTGTTTATCCAAATTTCCGTATTAACAACTGAATCTGTTATATTGTAGAATACTTTGTGGACCAAATTCAGCTACATCTTTACTTTAATCATGTTCAGATTCTGAGAATCAAGACGATACGAAATGGTGCCAATAATGCCACATTAAGTCCACATATATCAGACAGTTTAGGTATAAGGATAATAAGGCAATAACTAAATAACCTTTATTTAGTTATTGCGATGAAACTGATATGAAAATATTATTAACTGCGTTTTAAGAATAAAGCCTTTTATCATTTTTTTTAATATGTCCTCGAACATGGAACTGTTTAAAGGTATAGTATATTAATATATTAAAATAATATTGATTCAAAGGTTCACCTTTGTAAACAACTTTTGAATGTCATTTTTGCAGTATTACGTTAAAACAGAAGTATGTTAATAATCACTACGTAGTATAAAATAAAGTCGTCCGACTGTCTGTCTGTCCCTATGTATGCTTAGATCTTTAAAATTACGCAACGGATCTTGGTGCATTTTTTTACTAGATAGAGTACGTCAACAGGAAGGTTCTATATAATAACTATGAGAACATCACAGCGTTTCTTGGAAAAATTATCTTAATCTTGCTTTTTATTTTGAGTTATTGCTAATACTAAGGATTACTCAGGATTTGAAGCCACATAGAATGTAGCAGGCTCAACTGCCTCGATAATTAAAGTCAAAGGCACGTAATTTAATTTTTACAATGGCTCTAAAAAATTATGTAGAATTTGTTGAAGTATTGTGACTTGACGATTACATTGAGAACAATTTGTATGTAAAGAAAAAAAATTCAAGAGAAAGACAAGAGAAAATTTTAAATAAATAAATATAATTTCCCGAGCACAAATCGGTTTAAACGATTACGCATTTAGATTTCAGTGATGATAGTAAGCAGGAGCGGCGTGGACCAAAGGTGCTGTGTTATGTACAACCGCGT